TATTTGTAAATTAATTTGGTTTTCCGAGAGGCTCACCTGGAACCCAGCTGAATCTCTCGTTTGTAATGTTTCCAGGCAACTGAATGTGCTGCACCAGGCCGTCTCATGTTTGAGTCACTACGATATTCGAGATATCGCGATACATGTATATATTTGTGATGTACTACTCATAAGGTTGCTGAAAACTCGTCGATAGCCCACGATCGGTTTCACCCTTCTTGGGGCTCATCAGGTAGGCGCAGTCCCCGGATTTCCGTCAACCTTATGCTCTACTTGAAACCAAATTGCACGGAATTAGCGAATATACACTCATTTGCATACAAATTTGGAAACATCAAAACCGAGAAATTGAGCTGGGTTCCAGCTGAGTCTCTCGCAAAACCAATTTAAGTTGCAAATGAGTGTTATCCGCTAATTTCGTTCAATTCAATTTCAAGTAGAACATACGGTTGACGGAAGCTCGGGGACTGCACCTACCTAATCAGCCCCAGGAAGGGCGAAACCGGTCGTGGACCGTCGACGAGTTTTCAGCAACCTTATGATTAGTACATTACAAAGATGTACATGTATCGCGCTATCTCGAATATCGTAGTGACTGAAACATGAGGCGGCCTGGTGCAGCACATTCAGTTACCTGAGAACATCACAAACGAAAGATTCAGTTGGGTTCCAGGTGAGTCTCTCGAAGATGAGTGTATATTCGCTAATTTCGTGAAATTTGGTTTCAAGTAGAACATAAGGTTGACGGAAACCCGGGGACTGCGCCTACCTGATGAGCCCGAAGAAGGACGAAACCAGTCGTGGGCTGTCGACGGATTTCCAGCGACCTTATGAGTAGTACATTACAAAGAGATCAGCCAGTGTTTTTGGAACATATCCATGATTTGGTAACCCAGATATGACAATCAAAATAAAAAAGCAAAAGACGTAATGATAAGAGATTGGAATGTTTGAGGAATAGAGCGAATAGTTGATAAAGTACAAAGTACAAATATATCCATGATCACTCGGTAGCGTTCCGCATCGACACAAGACGCGGACGCGAATTCTAGCTTTCCAATGCACACTTATTGGAGCTGAGTTCAGACTCACTTATCAACGACAGTCCAGTACCTGAAGACAAAGAACGAACAGAGGAAGAGGGTTGTGACTGACGCAAGATTACCACAGGTTGCGAGTTTGACGGTTGTGAACACTGAGTTATTGGAATTTTCCATGCAAAGAATTGCATTACCGTTCTGTCATACAGGTAGTGAAGTAAGCTTGACAGGAAGGAAGTCACGAGTTCGGTCATCTGAGCTTGTTATCACAAACACGGTCACTTCATTCTCAGGATGTTACAGCTGAAGAATGACAGATTGAGTCACGTGACCACTAAAACAGTGTATATTGCGATTGTTTATTTGGACGTATGGAATTATCGTACACCACGGCCTTCCTACGACTGCTTGCATTTTCATCCCAAAATGACTCCGTATTAGCTAAAGATGGGAAAATATCGATTCCGTATCAAAAATGCTAAGAGAATGCGACCACTGCTGCGTTTAAATCAGACTGTTTGCAATATCACTAAACGGTCACTCACACATGAATTAACCCGTAACAATGGTGGGTCCACAGCAGAGCAACATAGGGCTGCTAAAACTTTGGCTTCGTGCACAAAATAAATGTTTTACGGCACTTTTTTCAGCGTAAAGTAATCAAGATATTACAACTGGTTTGCATAAAATCCGGACACTCTGCCTTCATGTGGACTTTTATTTTTGGGGCCTGTTTCGAAACGTATAATTACCGGTTACATCACCAGGTTGCAAGTGAATGCGCAACGTGATAGTCGAATCCACGCACTCAACTGAAAGGAATTCACAAACAAGTATCCTAAGTGCAGAGATAAGGGACATTCGTACTCGGCATTGTGCGCTTCCTAGCAATACTTGGAGCATTGCATCGGGGACAGACGTGCCTTCCATGAAATCTAGGACATCGACGTTAGACGTTGACAGAACCGGAAGATTACTGAACTATGAACCGAAATCTAACCACTGACGCTATACTCTGCCGATAAAAATAGTGAAATATAGTTCTCAAAGAATTTGTTCAACCATTGTGATACCTCAGAAGGGATTGCTTTCATAAACCTTATGCCATTTGACAAATGTGACAGAGTTATGATAATCTAATTCGAAGAATGAAATTCTGACGCAGGGTATCCTAACAGATGCTGTTATTGCAGAGCAGAACTTTGAATTACGCAAACGATACATGTATTATTTTCCGATGCAGACCTCTGATGTTGCCCGCGTTTAATTGGCAACCTGATCCGTTGTATCCACTTAGTAACGTCAGAACTAAAACAAGTTGCGTTCTGTTAAAGCTTTTTTTTACCATCCTCAGACGTTACGGATGCAAGATGATGTAAAGAGACAGAAAGGAAGGACATCTAAAACGGGCATTTATGGGTCAAATGGGGTCAGTCAGGGCAACACTCTGCTTTCTGGATCAACAAACTGTAGCATCATGCTCCTGAATAAGCAATCACTGAGCACGCCACTTATAATCTAGTGAGAGGTACTGGAAGTTGTGGAGCGTTTTCCGTATCTTGGAAGGTGTATTAGTTCTGACTGTAGTGTTACAGATGAGGTGAATGCACGAATCTGCGAGGCTCGGGTAGCGTTTGCAATTTGAGACACCTATGGCGTCAAAGTGGTGTATCCCTGAATCTGAAGGGACGTGTGTATCAAGGTACAGTACTGGCGGTTTTTTTGTATGGCTGTGAGACTTGGCCTATTCGAGCAGCAGAACTGAGACGTCTTCAGGTGTTCGACAATCGTTGTCTAAGAACATGGCTCTTGTCGATGATGATGATGATGATGATGACAATATTCAGCGAAGACTAGTGAGCTTGACTTTCGAACGCCTTCGGAACTTGAAACCTGTAAACACCCAACAGGATTTTTAGGGTTACTGCACACTCTCACCCATTGATGTTCCGTTGTATCTGAAGATATATTTCAAGATCGTCGGAGGAATATAGTATGGAAACACCGGACGAATTTGCATGGTCAGTTTTATTAACAAACCTCAACGTGTGTGTGTGTGTGTGTAAGACCCTTGCGACATTCAGAGCTTGATATCGTAAATTAAGTGTTGGGCATCATCCAGCGTTGTTTTTGAGGTAACTATCGGTTACTTCGTCATGCGAGATGTGGGAAGGCCAGCCTGTGTGACGGCGAGAAATAATGGGTTATTGAGACAGTCGTGAAGACCCAGCGTCCCAAAAATTCAGAACATTGGGTGCAAGTGAGCACTTTTGTAACCATCGGATAGGTAGACTCGTGTAAGCTTCGTCAGTGTCAAACCTCTTAGCGGAAACGGCATCACTGGCATATTTACTTTTTGTTTAGAAATCGTGCATACGGAAATAGTGCGGATTTCAAGAAGTACTTATCGGAAGCGATGAGGTTTAACGTTATGATTCTCCCCATTGAGATTTTGTCTTCTACATTCCTGTTTGTTAAGTAATATGTCAGGGGGGCTTCGAGCTTGATCGTCTTCGATCCCTGCATTGATAAATCAGTGATCCTTTCTAAGTTACCGCCCTTGCCACTGTCACAGCCCAGTGAAAAATAGCATGTAACTTGCCGATCCACAACTTGAACAACCGAAAGTTTTAGCGCCGGAAACATTAGTTCTAGCTGATACCTCAGTCAGTTGTTGTAACTAGCTTACCATCAAGGCTCCCGTTACAAATTCCGTCTAACGGACGCAGCACACTGCGACGAGAAGAATGGTCAGTTTAGCCTGTCCGACAGCTGTAATTGGGCGTGTTCGCAGCGGTCAGCTGGTAACGTCCAAGGGTCACTTCGTCCTATATTTGTTATTTGACGTTTATAGATTATAGGGATTGCACGAAACATTAGTGTGGCACAAGTTTCTGTGTGAGAGCTCTGGAGGACTCCTGCGGGCTCCCCGTTTATAATTTCATTTCTGTAGCCAAACGGTGATTTCACTTCCTAATCAGAAGGCATCTTAAAGTATCTAGAGAAGCAAATTCCAGCGCAAGCAGTAATATTGCATCGACTTGGGAACTTCCCAGCCTATGCTTTTAGTGCTAAGTCGAATAGTTGCTCGATATTCTGTATCCATTATTACTGACGAATTTGCAGCTGAATCTACCCTGATGTTGCGCAACAGCTGAGGGGGAGGATGTTATGATTTTCTGACCCAAAATAACACTATGCCTCTTCCCTACTGCCGTCTCTGTCTTACCAACTGAAATTGTTTGCTTGGGTGAACAGAGCGAGTGGGCCGCGTGGGAACACGCTTAGATGTCGGCACTGTATCCCTTGAGAAAACCATTATCACTGATCCTGGACTTTTGTGGGAGGAATTCCCGAATAGTGTGCACTTACAAACACAAACTAGCATTCCCATCCTGAATTTTAACTCTCTTCCGGCGGTGAATCCCGTAAACGGGTTAAGTTTCGGTAAGTTAGGTAGCGTTTTTCGGTCGTCTTGTGGTCTTGTTAATGGATCGAGCCCAACTAATTTTTCCAGCAGGTTATCTTAGTTGTGGAAAATCGTGTCAGGCTATTCACAGTGATGTTACGTGTGATCAGTGAAGTGTGGTCTGCATTACTAAGTGTTCCAATCTTTTGGCACCCACTGGTATCCAGATATCAAATATTGATTGATGCTCCTGCTGTACCAACTTATTCAATATTCTATCGCTGGTTTTGTTAGTTACTGCACAAATATGGTGATATGACGCACGCTTACAAGCTTTTTATGACCGGTTTTCTCCACAGGGCATTGCGCTGAGCGGCGTGGATAGAGAGGATACCAAAAAACAACTACTTGCTGCCATGCGGGCTGTTCGGCAAGATTTCGCCGGTTCTGTCCAAATTTGCAACGATGCGATAGGGTCATTTTTGACGGCGACAGACGAACGTAAGGTTTCGTAGCGTCAGAATGCTTGTGAATATCAAATTAGACTCATCTGTCCTATAGTTATTTTTTCCCGGCGTTTTTAAAGAGTGCACCCAATCATCTCGGTGACTTTTTTCTAGGTCCTTAGCTGATTACAAAGCAGTTGACAAAATCTGGGAAATGTCTCGTGAATTTTTGTTCTTCGTGATGTTTGTACTCGCATCACCCTCGTGTTCTGCATCTCTTTCGCCATGCGGGACTGGAACCCCAGGCATATGTGAGGCACCTATGATACCGCTCCTTCACTAACCCATTTTGGACGCACTCGAGTCGTCAGGTCTGACCAAGCGAACGTGTCCATGCTTGAGCGCTGTGATGGTAATCATGCGTTTTGATGGTTGCAGATGTTCGGCCTTCAGGTCATCTGTCACGGCCAGTCGTTCAGTAAAACATGCCTTGGTTTACCATCCATCTTGACATTTTCGGAAATACTTCTATCGATCACGTGGTTCCCACATGGCCGACCAGATTTCAAGTGTATACACAAGCGATCCAGCGTTGAGGCCAACAACAGTTGCTTTACGGGTCATGAATGCTTTGATTAAAGTTTGGAATGTTAAACACTAGAAGTTCGGAGTAATGAATCTACTAGACAGATGAAGAGACCTGGTACCACTTTGATGCTCTGCGTTAACGCTTTGGGTAAAGTTTGTGCGTGGAGTGAGTCACTGAAATGGCGAACTGCTGTTGAATAGATCGTATTGCAGTCTTGGTGTCATGCGTTGATAAAATTTTCTGACACGGTATAGACTTCAGTAAGATACAGAATGCAGAATTTTGACACCACTGGAGTCCGTTTCTACTCCAGAACTCTGGTTTCAATATCATGAACGTTATCCATAACACTTCTGATTCACACATCATATCTGCTTGCGATATCCCGACTAGTCCTGTGTACTGCTTAGGTGTGCCCACTATTCATTCTGTTTAACAATGATTCAGGCGCTCCTAAGGCGCCATCAGCGGCCACATATGGATCTCGGTGGCGAGTTCAGGTTCATATTACCTTAGTGAAACAAAAAATCGCCATGGACAGTGTTATATCTGCTGATTCGTCAATCTGTGGTATCTGCTGCTGACTCACTCCAGTGCCTAGTTGCCGAAAAAAGACTCACAGAAGGGAACACAACCGCTATATTCCGAACAGTCGAGTGCGAGAGCGTGAGTGCGTGCGAGTGCGAAAAGTACAACGGTCTTAATCTACTTATTGGAAGGACACTGTATGAACTTAGTTCAGTGCTGACGCAAACGGTCTGGCTTCGGTAGGAGGCTGTGACGTGCTGCATATTACGGGGGCCTTGTCTGACCTTGATCAACGCTGACTTGCGCTGTCTGGGTTTGATACAAAGCAGTGACGCGCTGCATGTTCAGGGGGTGTTGTCTGTCTGGTCAACATTTACCGGGGCTGAGAGTCTCGGTAGATTTCGGGAATTCAGTGGTTGCTTTCAAGATTAACTACACTGCTGATTTCAGTGTTGTGATAATAAAATGATAATCCAGTGTTGTTGGTTAAGCTGAGTGGGGCAGCACTCCATTCTACCTCTGTTCCTTTTTTATCTTCCATTGATTATTGCAGCTTCTATCGTCCTCATCGCTGGGACCGGATCTGTGTGCAAGTTTGTTCGGGAAGATTTAACTTTCGAACGAGTCGGGGGTTACGGCAGTCTTCTTGGTGATGGTGGTGGAGGTATGCTTTTCGATTCGTCCTTATCAAGCTTTGATAACAATGCCGTAAGAGTAGCATCATTTTGTTCTGCATAATGCATTGTGATTGTTAAGCTGGGATAATGTTTTGACAGAGGTAATTCCTCAGAGTAGGTGCTGCTATTCTTGGGGACCTCATGCTTCTTCATTGTCGTGAGTACTGCACATGAAATGAGAGTGAGTTCAGTCCCTGGGGTAATGTTCAGTCACCGCAGTAAATTTTGTGAGCATGTCGGTGGTGTAGGAACAGTTGCGGTAGACGTCGTATAACGTGGATAAAATAACTTGGGCAGACAGAGATTCCGGAAACTTCAATCAAACAAACCAGCGAGTCCCTGTTTGATGTCATGGCAGGCGTCGACTGCTTCTTGCTTTCATAAATGCGAAAAATTATTTCGAGTGTAAATGATAAATCTCTCTTGTAATAAAGAGGTTAGGTGGCTGCTTCTGCAAAGCGTAAAATGAACGACTTGTAAAGTTCATGTGGTCAACACAGTCCGAAAACGAAGAATATTTTGTCACACAAATTCGTTGTATACCATCATAATCTTATCAGAGACGGCTTTTCTTGCGCAGGAGAGCTCACGGGGACTCCATCCTGGAAGGCGTACCCCACCAACAACACCCAAACTCTTCGTAATCTCTTTCACACCCTTCTTCCAAGACATACGTTTTCTACCTCGCGGTTTCCGCCATTTTGAAGGGAGCACAGAATAATACTCGCTTCCATAGACGGTATTTTGGCATGTGTAGCACATGGTCGAGTCACTGTAATCGATAATGCGGGATGCTTCTCGCCATTGAAGTGCCTGCAGCGCAACCTAGCACCCGTTTTCTAATTATCTCGTTACGAATTCATCGACGCTTCCAAGGCACCGGCGGTAAGAAACCTGAAGACACCTTACATCATCTGTCCCCAGAGTCCATGTCTTGCAACCGTACAACAATACAGCCCTTACTGTAGCATGATACACGCCGCTCTTGACACCCAGTGATATGCCCTTTTGACGTTACAGGTGACGCAAATTAGCAAGGTTGTTATAGCCTTTTTAGTTTCGTGCACTAACTTAATCAGTGTTGTGATGCTCGTGCAACTCTGTGTCGGTCCCTTGGCTTCCTGCTCCGCCCACTATGGTATATCAAAACGCACGGTAGCTTCAGACAACGCTTTATGGAGACAACGGAAGATGATTACAACCGTATTTATAGGATAGGTAAAATCTTCGTGAGGAGCAGAGAAGCGTCGGGCTAAAGATGCTCGCTCCAGATTGGCTGGCATTTTGACCAATCAGGGCATGCCTTCGCTTGGTCCGCACGTGACACATCCGTCCAATATACGTACTGTTCGGTTATTAAAGATGGCTGGCCTCCGGGCAATCAGGCACATTTCGTGTGAGATTAGCAAGGTTCTCACTAGTAGTGATTTCAACACCGGGGTTTTGGAGACCTTGCAGCATTCGCCTCATTACTTCCTCGACGACTAAGTTAACGAGAGGGGAGAGAACGACCATCCTTTCCGGATACCATTTTTTGTAGCAACCTTTTGGAGCGCTCAACGTACCGTCGCACAAGCCTAGAATTCTGTAAATATAGCCACCGGATTATGTTTCTGGGACATGCCCTTTTGAGCAAGTGTAGTTAATAGCACTGACCGGTCGACCGAATCGGACGTACCCTTGATGTCAAGTAACATCAAGACTCCAGGTCATCTATGCGCATGACGTTGCTTCAATACCTGACGGAATGTGAAGATGTGGTCGACGCAGTCCCAAACAAGTTAAAATATCGCTTGGTGCTCACGGGTTGGGGAGTTGGCTGCCACCATATGACGACCAATCAGTGACGCCAGATGCCTTCGTAATAAGGGAGTCATTCACTACTAACATCCTTTCTGGAGGTGAGCACTATTATTGACTCTTTCGAGTTGTCTGGGACGGTCTGCTGCTCCCAGAGAAACCAAAATAGGCTGGACAGACACTGACTGAGGAATTTACCGCCATCCCTGAACAGAGCAGGTGGAAGGCTCTCAGAATCGGGAGCACGGTAATGCTTGAATGGATATATAAACTCGGGCACTTTTGAGGCCAATGGAAGTTATGTGTTCTCAGTCCGCCTTTCTGTTGAAGGCCAGCAGCTCAGATTGGAGGTAGCAGGTGGCCAAATGAATCACCGTTTGAAGTACTCTACCCAACGTTTCAGACGTTTTTACTTTATTGGATGTCGGAGACCCATTTTGTTCCCTGATAGTTACGCTGATGAGAAAACTCCAAGGACTAGTCGAACGAATCAAGTGAGAGAGCTTGCGGACAGTTCCACCATTTTTGGAATCTTCCAATACTTCCACCATTCGGGTCCGCCAAAATTTTCTGTCCGCACGCATGCTCATTTTCACATGGTGTCGGATGAGGGTTCACTTGTAGTTCTTGCCGGGAGGAATTTGTCGCTGGGCCTCCATTAAAGTCGTAGATCTAATGTTTATGTGAGTTTAGCTGAGTTGTGCTCCAAACAGATCAGGCTTTGAGAAACGATCTGGATATCTCTTCCCAATGGCCGTTAGAATCTGATATCTGCCCACGCGACTGATATCCAGGGAATTGATTCTGATAGTTTGGTTTTGGTTTCTGGATAAGCGAGGTGTGCACATTTCACGTAGAATCGTAAATTGCCATGAAAACCAGCGGCGAAATTCATACTGGTATTCCACAAGAAGCAGCAGGCAGTGACCGATCCTCGCCACCAATCAATCGATTAATCAGCTATAAACCGTGTACCACAGGCACACACAAACCTCCGCTGTAATCGATGGTCTGCTGATGAGAACCTCTTCATCTGTTGTTGTCCTCCTTGATCTTGTCTATCCATGTCTTGTCTATCATGTCTATCCAAGTCTATCTCTTGATTAGTCTCTGTTGGGTAGTATTACTGTTTATGCGAGCAAGATCGGTATTTTAAGTCTACGTATTCTGGTTAAGGAGTAGTCTTAGATTGGGCTTCAGAAAGGTATAGAGACAATCGGGCGTTTCTCTCACCTCAGAGCGGTTTGGGGAAGTGCTGAAAAAAACGTGCTAGTTTACCTCAATAGGTCAGTGTTCCGTGCTTGTGATTAAGGACGCACACATTCATGTAATCCGATGCGCGAATTTTATGTAGAACCACTCACTTTTTCGCATTAATCCGGCGGTCTCTGAATACAGACTCCGTAAATTCCGAAAAGAGGTAACTCAACCAGTGTTGCCTAATAATGTTTTGGAAACACGTATAGTCATAAAGCATTCCTAGGTAACAACCCTTGCCGTAACAACTCAGCTACTACGGATTAAGTTGATCTCATGGGATAGGATGTTCGTTTACCCGAAGTATGTCGCCTCGCTAGCATAGCAAGGCTTTGGATGATGATGAATATTCCATTGCACGAAATCCTAATAACTCGGATATTCTACGGATGTACTTCATATATGGAAAGGTATCTGTGTCGGATAAGGTAGTGGACTTTTTGGTATAGTTGAATGAAGAACCAACGAACCTTGTGTGAACGAAGCAGCATGCACGGAGGGTGAAGGATCCGTATAAGGTACTTTCAGGCACCAATTCAGGAGAAAAAGTGTTTCATGGCAACCAATGATTGGTAGTTTCATAACCATAATGGGGCTTTCGAGCGTACTCTTTGTCAGACTACAGATGAAAGGAAGAAGGCCTTCGCTGCGGAGTTATTTATTCGGAAATGCCAACTGACCGGTTACAAACCATTGAACAGGGAAGCAAAACTCTACAAAAACTGGACACAGATCTCCTCCCGAACGAGTCTTCCTAGAGATTCGTTGCCTCCACTCATTCGTCAGTCAAATCCAAGCAGATGTTACAAAGTGGCCCTACGAATTCCGCAACAGAATTCCCTTTTTCAGTCGACGCAAAGCGAAATTCTACGAACAACACATACTACTCGCGTGCCTCCCGATCAGTAGTATCACCGTTACACACCTCCACCCCTTAAAGCTCGTTCGCATGCCATCAATTTTCATTTCCCTCCATTAGGTCGGCTTCGGCAGCGGGTCTATTCGGCCGCTCTTCAGGTGTATCATGCCACTTGCGAAGCTGCGTCCCATTCACTACTTTTGATCCCCGACCCTCTTGAATGGTATAGACGTTCGGTGACTACAAACGGCCCTTGCCATCGGCTGCCTAGCTTCCGCGACCCCAGTCCACTCCCTCCAGGATTCTGGTGATCCTTCCACCTGACCTTCTTGCCTATGGGGAACGTTCGAACATTTCTATTTGCCGTTTTCTGCCTAGCCCTTTCCTAAACAGCGGTCAAACTTTCTCGAGCTCTCTTTCTTTCTTCCTCTAGCTCCTCCGGAGACAAGCGTGTTGCTGGCCACAACCCAATTTCCTGATCAACCGGAAGGCGCTGATGTCGACCGTACATTAACATAAACAGGGACTTGCCTGTGGTTGACTGCGTGGATGCACGATGAGCTAACAACACCATTGGCAAGTTCATTTCCCAGTCACCTCCTTTGGCCGGAAGCCAATCCTTGATCGTTCGGTTATTACGTTCGGTTAGGCCATTAGTTTGCGGGTGGTATGGTGCCGTCCTTAGCCGTCTGGTATCTAGCTTCTGCAAGCAATTCCTAAACTCTTCGCTCTCGAAGCAAGGGCCCTGATCGGTTAGGATCATTTTTGGCACCCCATGGTTGGCCACGATGTGATGCATTACCACTCCGCTGATCGTCGCCGTCCGCTGATTCGGCACGGCGGCCGCCTCAATCCATCGCGACAGGTGTTCTGTCATCACCACGATGTATTGGTTCCCACTGGTTGTCACCGGGAAGGGGCCCATGACGTCAACTGACCACAACTCGCCGATTTCTGAGACAGGAATGGGTTCCATGGGATGGGTTGCCCCTGTCGTATCCGCTTTCATTAGTTGACAACGCTTACAGGACACCACATAATCCATCACCTCACTTCTCATCCCGGGCCAGTAGGCCCTCTGCCGAAGTAGGTCGTATGTCTTGGTGCACCCTGTATGTGCCATCTCATGGCATTCAACGATGAGATTCCGTCTCAAGACGCGAGGTATCACGGGCAGCACAACATCTGAATCAGTGGCGTTCCAGGAAATTATGCCAGCTTCATTCAGCCTCAGCCGATCAAAGTGACTCTGGAACGCTTCTAATTCCTTGTCTCCCTCTCCGTTCTCAATGTTCCTTCCATCCAACAAGGCGGCTGCAACCTTTTGTAACACCGGATCCTGCCGTTGGAGTTGCACCAACTTTCCGGGATCCAGTTCGACGACGAGGCCATTGGCTCCAATCATGATCTTGGGGACCTCATCTTCAGCCTCTGGCCTTGACAGCCAATCAGCCAAGTGGTTCTCCTTCCCGGGCACGTGCTGGATTGTGAAGTCGTACTCTTGCAACCGGAGTGCCCAGCGTGCGAGCTTCCCGCGAGGATCTCTGGTGGTCCTGATCCACTCCAGGGGTTTGTGATCGGTTTCGACATGAAACCTTTGCCCAAGCAGATATGGTCTCCACTTATCCAGGGCCCAGACAATCGCTAAACATTCCTTCTCAATGGTGGAGTACTTCTGTTCAGCGTTAGTCAGGACGCGACTGGCATATTCGATAACTCCATTCCTCTGCTTTAGGACTGCGCCGATACCGCGATCACTGGCGTCCGTTGCAACAATGAACATCTCTCCGACCCTGGGAAGTTTGAGGGTCAGTTGCTGATCCGACATCCGCGCTTTGACACGCTCAAAAGCTTCATGTGCTTCTCCGGTCCATTCGAATTTCCGATTTTGACCGAGCAAATCGTACAGTGGCGCAGCGATCTTGTTGAAATCCTTAACGAACCGGCTGTAGTATGCTGCTCGTCCAAGAAACTGCCGTAGAGACCGCTTTGAATTGGGAACAGCACAATCCTTGATCTTTGCTAATTTTTCGGGCAGTGGGCTAACTTCTCCCTCACCCACTTTATGCCCCAGCAGTGTCACCGAACTCCGAGCGAGCTGTGTCTTGGCTTCATTTATCCGCAGGCCAGCTTCCCGAATCCGCTCCAACACAGCCTTCAAGTGAACTACGTGCTCCGGTTCCGAATTGCTGTACACAACGATATCGTCTCCGTACACGGCAACATTCTGGAGTCCCTTGGTTACACGAAGCATCAAGCGCCGGAATGTGAATGGTGCCCCGGACAAACCAAACGGCATTCGTCTAAATTGATATTGGATGTCCCCAACCGTAAACGCCGTTTTCTCCCGGTCCTCCTCCTTGATAGGTAGTTGCCAATATCCGGAACGCAAGTCGAACACAGTAAAGTATCGGGAGTGCTGGAGGGAATCGAAAATCTCTGCAACCGAAGGCACAGCCACAACCCGATTTACGGTCAGTTCATTCAAGCGCCGGAAATCCACGCAAAACCTGTATTTTCCGTTCGTCTTCCTTACAAGCACAACTGGGGAATTGTACGCACTGTTGGCTTCTTCGATTATACCATTCTTCAACATCTCCTGAATCTGTCTATGGACCTCCTCCCGTAGATGGAGCGGCAACGGACGGGGGCCATAAGGTCGAAAGCGTTCTGATGACAGAGGAATTTCGTGTTCAATCCACGGGCAGAAGCCAAACGGATCCTCATCGCCCGTAAACAGTTCGGAATATTCCTCAACCACGGCCCGTATTGACGATACATTACAAGACGGAAGTTTTCGGACACACAGCTCCCTCACGACAGTGCCTGGATAACCTTCAAGCTTGATTGCGCCATACTTTGTCACCAGCCTTCCCTGCTTTAGGTCAATCACGGCATCTGTGCCCTTGAGAAAATCAGCTCCCAATATTGTCTGCTCTACGTCTGGGCTGATCAGGAACGCGTGCTGCACGGACTTGTCGCCTAGGCGTATCGAGTGCGTTGACAGTCCGTCAATCTTCAATCGATATCCGCCAACAGCTCTCACGGCTAGCGCGCACGGTCTGTGTTCAGCTTGGTTCCCTCTTTGCCTCAGCGATACGCCTGCTCCGGTATCAATCAAACATAACTCCTTTTTCCCGTCTACCTCGACAATGGCTTGTACGGTAGCTTGTGTCAGTGCGCTAATCGCGACCCACCCAGGAAAAGAGGAGTACTCTAAAGTTTTATTGTGTACAAGCGATCGGTTACGGGGACACTGATTCTTCCAGTGGCCAGGCTTGCCACACATGTAGCACCGGCTGGTTCGAGCGTGCCTCCGCGATTCCGTCTTCACGGCTGCCAGCTGTTCAAGAGTTGGTCCACTCTGGTCTGCAGTTCCTCCACTGATGAACCATCCCTCTTCTCCTGCGACTGCAACGTGGTCAGTGGTGTCTCGGGCAGCTCCCGGGCCAGACGCACCAGCTCCTCCACACTCAACTGGCCAGTTGCTCGCGCTAACCGCGACTGGGCACCAAGCGCCGGCTGCACACCTTCGACGAACTGATCCGACAGCAACTGGTATCGCGACACTCCGTCGAGCCCCGGCAAAGCGCGGTCCAAAAACTGCTGCAGGCCAGCGAAGAACACGGTTGGGTCAGATCCGGGTGCCATCCTGACCGTCTTGAACCGCCTCATAGCCTCCTGGCGGTCGGCCGGCGTGTAGAACTCCGCTGCAAGGACTTCCTTCGCGGCGGCCCAGTCTATCTTCTGAGGGCCTCTTCTGGCCGCATCCAGGGCCGCCTTCGCCCGGCCCCTGAGGAGGGTCTTCAGCGCTGCCAACTTACACCGGTCGGTCTCCAGCCCGGCAGCCTCCGCAACATCCTCAAAATCCCCCAGGAAGGTCCGAACATCCCCATCCTCAAAGGGTTGCGACCATGGGGTCTTCATCCTTATCCTGGTCACGGCACCAAATGAAAGGAAGAGAGGCCTTCGCTGCGGAGTTATTTATTCGGAAATGCGAAATGACGGGTTACAGACCATTGAACAAGGAAGCAAGACACTAATTTGCATCTTATTTACAAAAACTGGACATCCGTCTTCTCCCGAACGCGTCTTTTTGAGCTTTCCTGGAGGTTCATTGACTCCACTCATTCGTCGGTCGAATCCAAGCAAATGTTACAAAGTGGTTTCACGAATTCCGCAACAGATCTCCCTTTTTCAATAGACGCAAAGCAAACGCATACTACTCGCGTGCCACCCGATCAGTAGTATCACCGTTACACAGGTAGATTAATGTACCTCTCGCGGCCGTCGTATTCGGAAAATCAACAGGACTACCGCAGTTAATGACCTAGTCTACGTTATTTTTGCGTACTGTTCGTTTTGTCAGTAGCTTAAATAGGTGTTCCGTTTGTGACACGGTCGAATGTTGGTTACCCGTAGTGACCATATCTCGCGGTCAGAACAAGCCAGGTACACTGAACTGGTAAGAATCAACAGAGTATCATGTGATTTTTTCTGATCTATTTTGTCGAACTGAAAAGCTCACGGATAACTAGAAATTGTGCAAATATTATTGGACTCAGATCACTTCGAATGTTTTTATATTCCATATTATTTTCCGTATTTTGACAATATGCTGATTTAGAGTGTAGAATCTTTGATGCAGACTTCATGTTCAAAGCTTTCCCCCTTGTTCTCAGCTACATTGGCCCTTCCACCTACACACTCATATATCGGGAAGATAATTAAACAGGAAAGATTCGCGGACATTTGTTGTTTACTGAGGGGTGATGATGCCACCTGTAGGTGGTAATTGACATGTTCGGGTATTTCCTAAAAACCAAAATATGATTTTCGGGCTTCGTTCTGATTGACTGTCTTGGAAAAACTACTAAGTTTTTTGTGCATTCATGATGCTCGTCAAGATACTTGCACTAGGTGGTGGCTTCCACTAGTTTTCAGTTGCTGCTTCCTTCAGTCAGTAGCATAAGTAGTTTAATTTATGACGCCCTGGGTAGGTCACAGTCCGTCGAATAAATTTACGTTCGACAAAAAAGAACCAACCAAGTATCATGTGGCATTACACGCAATCGTCTTGGATCTACAGAGGTGAGTTGCCTATGGCCGCTAAGAAATCATGCAAATTTTTTGTAGAAATTAGAGTGCTGTCTAACTTCAGTTTGTGTAAGAAGTGTCATCGAATTTATAAGCCAACAATACGCGCCTTTCCCGTTTTCCTTAAATTGACTACAAAACCAAAGTTTGCATCTCAAAGTATAATTTTCAAACAGCCGTTCTTTATTTTCATGAAAGGAACCACTCACAAGGTTGCTGAAAACTCTTCGACAGCCCACGACCGGTTTCGCCCTTCTTGGGACTTCCTTATCTTCCTTATCTTTTGACAGGTTACTACACCGCGCATTACCTGCTGACTAAATTTCTGGCGATCGAGGAACGCCTTGTGTGTTGGGAACATGACATTACACCAGTGAGGGAGCTAATTTACAGCCACTTCAATATCAAAGATTCCACCGGTCTCTTACCACACTTCTATGAGCATTTTGACAAATCGAAAGTTGCGGCGTTGTGCCAATTGATGTCCCAAGGTAAGCTTAGGCAATAAATACAGAATTTTACTCTCTTTATGTATCTATTGATTTTTCTCTATTACCTTTCTGCGCAACTACTCGAAGCAAGGAGTGATACTTATACCGGTGGTAACCTGAATTTGGTTTCCGATTGTAACATTCAATTAGTCTCTTCACACTGACTTTGAACATTTGGAAGTGCGCATTTTGTATTCTCGCAGTACAGTTATGTTGGCTTGACTCGTACTTCTCAGTGATATAAGTTGTGGGGTTCTAGTTTTAATTCACCATGCAGGACCAGGAAAATATTGTGAATTTCCGGTTCTTGAATTGGTTTCCGGCGTGGAATGGAAGATTTTTTTTACGACGCTGGCGGATGCCAGTGTGCGTGTTTGTGTGTTATGAAGTGATACTATTTAAGCGATCCGAGGGCATTCGACTGCACTGCCGATTTCCTGATGCCCTGAAGTGATTCCGATTGAATCAGTTCTACCTTGACGTGATAGTGGGGCCTGATGGTGCAGTACTTCGACGGTCTGTTTTGGCTGAAAATTTGTTCCCTAGGTTCCAAACCTGAGCAGCCAAATAAAGTGTGGTAGTCTGATATACTGCGATCAGTTGCATCGATTCCTTCTAGAGAACTATGTTTTATCTGATTACTGTCACCAACCCAGTACCTAATGCCGAAAAAAGACTCGCCAACAAGGAACACATCTTTATTGTGAACAAGCCAGTGCGGAGGTACAACGACCTCGCAATATATATTGATAGAGACCACCTGACCTTGATCTATGGCTGTCTGATCGGCGTTTAGTGGAGTTGAGGGTCTCAGTAGGTTTTGGGTATTCTATGATAACCTGACCTTGCTGACAGTGTGCAAAGACAATAACTGTTTTCTTTAGGCAACCAGATTTCTATGTTTATGGGAAGATTGCTATCGCCTTACCTCCCCCCACCGAGGAGTAGCAGGCTGGTAAATGTTGACCCTGAAAAGCGCACGTTCTGACAGCCCAGCGGCTGACTGACCACCGGTGTCCCCATCAAGAGGCCGATGCGGTTTAAAACTCATTTCCTGTGCGAAGTGCCTTCAGAAGTCAGGTGTGCTGGTCTTCTGCACCGTCAGGCTAGGCTAAGTCCCTTCAGCCAGATTGGTCAGACTGTTGGGTCATTGACTCACGTCAAGATCTCCGAATTCATCTATTTTCTATACCACTGGAATAAAAACTTATTGGACAACACTGTTGCAAGACTTAGTAGGGTCGAACTCTAGTCCCATGGTTGCGAAAGAGTCACTTGAGGTAGTAGACAAGTTTGTTTACTTGGGCATCTGTATCAGTCCCGGTGGTCCGGCGAAAGATGATATTCCCATCCGAATTGGGAAGGCCAGAGCTGCTTTTGTGAATCTGCATAACCTGTGGCGTAGGCGTAACCTAAGCTTAACCGTCCAGTTTACAATACTGCGGTGCGATCCATATTGCTATACGGGTCAGAAACCTGGTCGCTGCGCGCCGAGAACGTCGAAATACTTCCAGTGTTTGACCAACGATATCTTCGGAGCGTTACTCGAGTCTGTTGGATACACTGGATCAGCAATGCTGAAGTATTTCGAATGATATTCAGAAGAATTTGCTCGCCCACTCAATGGGTTGCGCTGGCTTGGTCACGTGCTTCATATGCCAGTTGGCCGAATTCCTCGAAGTGTTCTTTGCGCCCAACCACGCAAAGTGTAGAAGCGAGCTATGGAAGGTCAGTGACTTGGCAGCAAAGTGTGAAAGCCATTACCAGCAAACTCAGCTGCGGGGTCATTGCCTTCTCCGTGGATGGGGACCGTGAGACGGACCACAGCAATGATTAGAAACATTGTCAGACATGGCAGAGTCTCACTCTCGATGGCGCTCCTGCCTTCAATGCATAGCTCCCTTCCCAATTCCCCCACTTGAAAGTCCACTGGCAGAACTGTATTTAAGCACCAGTTTGTCAACCTTCGCTACCAATGCGCAACTGCCTACCCCATCTCCCAAAATCATCGGTGGACGAAATTGTAACCGCTACAACCACTGTACAAGTACGCGGTTCTTGCAGCTAATAATGATGTTGATATTGATGGATGACATAGTGACTACCGTTACTAGTCAACTCATTTATCATTAACTCAATTTTGTGTCATTCCATTCGACCTAACTTTCATATATCTTTGCGGAAGGACGGTCTGCGTACACTGGACCGTAATACCTGCTGTTATCTGGAGTTATCACAGTTTTTGCTAATAGTGTTTACTCAGTTGGGCACATCTTAAATCGGGTGAGTGTGGTACTGAATTACTTTGGTTCGTCATTTTACCTAAAGAAGAGAATTCTTTGATGTCACTGGCAGGTCCAAGGGTTTCACTGATCTCCTGCAAGAACACTTAAGTTGGAAGGTTTCAATTAGGTAAATACTGGTCTTTTTAACTGTATCTAGTGTGCTTGTCCTCGATCCTTGCGCTGGACGAAACACTAGATTGAATTGCATTGCGTCAATACAGGCCTACAGAATGTCATAACGGCAATGAACTTGTGTTTTTCTTCAGCCGCTCGTGAGGGTGAACCCCTTTGTAGAAAAGCTTTTCGAAAAAGTGGCATTCAACTGGGTCGCCATGTCCGAGCATGTCTATCTCGTGCGCTCCACGAAGCTTTGTT